TTTGGAGGGAGCAGACTGAGATGGTTTATATTAGAGGGGTCAAAGTCATCCTCAGAGGAGGAGGCCTTAACTATTGGACCAGGACAGGCTTAGTGGCAGAGTGCACTTGTTGCTTGACTAAGGCCTCAAGTCAATTAAAGGCCCAAGGGCCAATGGAGATTAGCAAGAGGAGCCCTATTAAAGGACCAAGGAGGGAAGGAAGGAGGGTGGTTAACCATGGGGAAGTAGAAGGAAGCCAGAAGGAATAACAGGAGGTTATTTTCCCATAAGACCAAAGCCAGCCAAGCTGATGGTTGAGTCAGTGTCATCGGGGTCATTTTCAGAGGACCTGTAGAATAGGTTGATCAGGACCTGGAAGGAAAGAAGGAGAGGCTTCTCCTCCCGAGGGGGCTGGAGTGTCAGAGTTTTCATCTCCTGAGTCCTCCTCCCTGGAGGAGGCTTCAGCTAATGGACAAAGGATATGATTACTGCTACAGAGTGAAAATGAAAATGCCAAGAGTGGTGATTTGGACAGGGATGTTTTTCACACTCAAAATTCTCATGATAGGAGTCCCTCCTGACATCCACATTTCCTTACCCTCCTGCACTGCAGAGCCAGGGTAGTATCCCAGTCAACCTTAACCTCTCTAATTCCATGACCTCACTTGCAACTTCCCAGCATTCTCCAGGAATCCACAAGGAGAACTTTGAATTCTCCCCCAACATTGGCCACTGTAACAGTGGACCAACTCGCCATGGACCCACAAGCCAGGGCAGAAGCAAAGAAGCACTGACAACTTCAAATCTAATAGCATTAAGATAATGTGAAAATTTCTTTCTTTTACTTTTTAAAACAACCTAACATGGGCTTCTCACTAGTGACCCTTCCCTTACCTGGCCCCATCCTACACTGTACTTCGGCACTTTTGTGTCTTATCAACCCATCTGGTGTGCCATGTTGTAGGATGATCAACTCTTGGAGGCAGTTTCAGCTATAACCTATGGTTCCTTCTTGGCGGAACCATGGACAAAGATTCCCGATAAAGAGGAAGAACTTCTTTTTTTGTTTTGTTTCTTTTTAACCCGAGGTCCTCCAGGCTTGAGGGATTCTTTGATAGCAGAAACAGATAAATCTTCCTTGATAATTTTATCATTTTTTTTGCAACAGCAAATTGCATTTATTTCTGTATTCATCCACATTTCAAAAATTAGTGGTTCTGGACAGAGTGGGGAACATGACAACAAACCTGAAGGTCAGACCCACCCATCTGAAAACTCGACAGAGCTCCTCCCATTCATGCCAAGGTTTTAAGGAGCAGCAACACTGAAACCTGAGTCGTCAGGGTTAGGGCCTCTGTTCCTTCTGTCAGGTTCCATGTCAGACCTAATGCCTGGATAGGGAGTCCTGTCCAAACCACTTCAGTGTGTAAAAGCAAAGTGATTATGAGAAAAGTAACTGACTCAGTACCCTGTGTGCTGAGGACTCTCCCCATGGCCTTTCTCTAGGCGCAGCCACCAAGGACCCTGAGTGCTGGCACGTTTGTTGCCCCGTGACTGACTGCTCTGTTCATCTTGCGACCTGACCTCAAAGTGCATCAATTGATGGTAGCAACAGGGCCAAAGACCCAGAAGCCCATTCCCAGGCTGGTGGCAAGTGAGCATGTGCCCAAAACCTAAGTGAGAAGACCAGCCTCTTCCAACCTTATCTCACAGTTCCGTTCACAGCAAGTGTGGGATGGTGTGGGCAATGAGGGAGTTGAGAAGGAGGAGTAGAGAGCAGCACCCCTTGATAAAGGTGGGGAGACTGGAAGCCCTGAATTCCTCACCCAAGGCCAATTTCAGAGGGAGAGGAGGGTTACAATCTAAGCTTTGGCCAAGGGCAGGAGTGAGGTAGGGGGGCAATGGCTTGTAAGGGCATGACTTAAGAAAGCAGGGGTGAGGCCAAAGCACCCCCAAGCCCAGCAGTATTCCCACCGCTGCTACCTGAAGCCTTCCCTTCTATTCTAAGGGCCACCATACAGCTGGGGCAGGAGGGGGGCAGGCAAAGGCAGACCCAGGCCATGCGTCAGCAGCTGGTGATTGTGTGACATGTCTGTTCACAGTTGCATTAACTGTGCCCACCACCCCCAAAGGAAACTGATTTCAACACACCTTCTTGATCCCCGAAGTTCAACTAGGCAGCCAGCAGTTGCAATTGACAGATGTTTCACAGCACAACTTAGTTACTTGAAATGGATAAGAAATTAGTATCAGAACAGTGTCTCAATATGAAGTCTGAGTGGAGCTTCCTCTCCAGTACTTTGAGGTCTACAAAATGAATCTAGAAAATAAACTACTGTGGAAAATGAAGACATAGGTTGGATTGGGGAGAGGAGGCAGGGGCCTTGGTGACTAATTGCTGTAATACTGTCCTTCTGGAGGCTGTGGCAGCTTCATGTTCTCTTTTGACATCATCAAGAGCCGAAGCTCCTGCAGGATGACTTTGATGCTATGGGATTTCTGCCATTTTGCCAGCACTGTCATGGCCCTTGTATCCACCATTCCATTTGAACTACTCACGCAGCTCAAATTGGCTTTTGTTACAGATCTTACAGATGGGGATTACAGATGGGGGTGCTTCCAGGTATTTAGGCCCACATTCTATTTTAAGGCTGTATATTCGGTTTTCATAAATTGATCTTGGAGGCCCAATTATCATCCCTGTCCATCTTGTAAGTGTCATTTCCTCGTCACCCTCTAGACCCAGGCTAACTGTGCCATCGCCTACTCCTTTCTGTCCTTCCAACTCTTCCAACGGTCAGAAATTTCGAGGGACTTTTACACCAGAGCCTGTGGTGGCTGCCAGCTTGCTTCCCAAATGTTTTTTCTTAACTCCAGTTCCCCATATCTTGAGAGATTCTGTGATCCCAGAAAGAAATAAATCTTCCTTGCTAAATGCTTGTCCCATTGTTCAACTTTTCCACATAGGAGGTGTTCATCAACCGAAAGTCCCAAGAGCTGGGTAGGCTGCTGGGTCTTCCTCCATCCAAGGCATATAATTGACCTTGTAATGGATGTCTTACTGCATGGAGTGGCCCGTCCTGCTGATGAACACTGAAGTTCCCAGATTCCCAACTGTATCAAGCCACATGTTGGGCACCAGTTGTCCTGACCTGCAGGACGTCAACCTAGGGCAAGAGAGTCAGGAATAGGGAATGGGGAAAGAGACACAGAAAGAACAAACACAAGACAGGATCCTGATAAAGTGGCATACTTTACTTTTCTCAGGCTAGCTTATATAGTCAGCACAGCAGGATATGGGCAGGGGTAGAATGGGTTGTTTGTGCACCAGATGGTAGTGTAGGCAGGATATTAGGAAGCCACAAAGAGGATGTTTGGCAGGGTAAAGAGTTCATGAGCAAGAGGTTCAGGAAGTTTTGCTTAGGTGACTAAGCCTGTGGGAAGAAGAATGGGTCAAGTTGTTTTCTTATCTTAAGCTGAGGTTCTAAGGAGCTGCTATGTAAAGGTTAATATACAACCATGTGCCCAGTCAAGAACAGCCTAGGATGCCTAGGATCTCATTCCCAGACCTGAGATTTGGCTCCCAACAAGAGACAGTGTGTCTCCTCTTGTAATTCACTCATTTAAACACCATGGGAATTCTGGCAGATTTACCCCTGCTGAGTATTTATATCTAATTAATATTGTTACTTCAGGGACCCAATTTTCAATTAGTTCTTTGTTTTCTACTGTTAAATTCATGGGAAAAATTTTCAGTTAGGGTTTTTTTTTTGAAAAAACAAAAAAAGACATAGCTTCTTAACAAATTATTTACCATGTTAATGTAAAGAAAACAGAAATCAAGACAAACCTAGTTAGGTTATCCCAATGCCTACAAAATAGAGAATTATTTTTACATATGATTTAGTAATCTTTGTTCTTCTGAGATTCTGCACCCCAGAGGTTATGGCTGAATTCTTGAAACATGATGGTGAATTTCACATCTTGCTCTTCTCTGTTACAGTTGAGCAGGGGAGTATTTTTCTTAAAATTGCATCCAAGCACAGCTATCATTTTCATCAGCACAGTGTGACTGCTTGCAAAAGTCCCTGGAAGGGGACTGTTTCCTGTTGACATTCCCCTTATGGAAAGAAGGAATAGGGAGGACCAATGCATCTTCGGACTCTGGGCCCCCCTCCTTCAACTGCCAAATAGCTATATGTAATTCTGACCCACAGCCTTGTATTCATTAGAAATGCTAGCATTTATAAACTGTGAAAGGTATGCAAGTCACCATCCATGCTGGTGTGAAACTATTCAGTGGTGTGGCTACTCTAGAGTCACCCATGCTCTCACAGGAAATTCATCAGCCCCCAAACCTCATGGTTCACAAACTGGACTTTGATGGAATCATACTTTGGTTTATGGTTGGTTTACTAGGAGGAGGGAGTAGGCAGAATTTTTGCATACTGTCAATGATGTTCTTAAATAAATAGCTATTCTGAGCTCTTCTTTCATCAGAATAAG